CATCTCCAAACACTGTGATCTGTAGGAACAATCTCTCTCTTTTAACAGGGGTGCAGTGCATCCCTCTGCATTCAGAAGCCAAGGTTTTTGTCAAGTTGAAATGAAATGCTCTTGAATAAGATCAGGCATTGGAGCTGGGGCTGGCAGGCTGAGCTCCTGGGGGTCTCTGCAGAAGCAGCGTTCTGCTGAGACACTGTCTGGAAATAGAATCCTCAAAGTACAGCTGGGATCAGAGCTTCCTGCAGCTGGCTTTATTTTCTGGGTTTTGAGGCCTTTCATCTAAGCCAGGCAGGAGGATTTTGGAGCAGTTATATTTATAAAGGCTGTAGGAGAAAGAACCCTCTCACACCACCCCCAGGCACAGGGATCCGGTCTCTCTCCTCACCTGGTAAGTTTATAATTATTCACGGCCCACCCCGAACCCCATCTTGGTGAGCAGGATCCCGTCACACCCCTTGGTTTAGACAGATGCAGGAAGTTGTGCGTCTTTCTCCATGATGTGGACCAGAATCTTTGCACCAACATAACTGACCTGGGATAATCCCACCCTTGTGGCTCCAGGTCCCCGCCGATGTGCTCCTTTTACACCCTCTATGAAAATTCAATAATTGCCCCCAGCCTGCAGTGTCACTACTGTAGGAGCATGTATTGGATCAGCGGTCCAGTTCAGTTCGGGATTGCCCCTCTACTCACCCCATATTTGCCCTCCTTCTGCAACATCTACCCTCCTCTCCAAGCAAAAGTCTAATTAATTAAACCTAAACATAGATGGATTCTTCCCTTTCTCTGAGTGGGGAATTGCTCCCCCCTGTATGCACACAGGGAGCTGAGCAAGCGGCACAGGCTCTGGGTTAGGAAGGAGGTAGGTGTCCTTTTCCCAAGAACTCTAAAGGGAATCCCCTCCAACAGCTTGCAAAGCTTCCTGTTCTCTGCCCAGTCCACCTGCTTCCTCTTTTCTCCGCCTGGGGTGTGGAGGAGCCTTCGATGTCATTGAAAGGGAAACCCAGGCTGCCTTTAAACAGTGTTATAAATAAACAGAGGTGTAAGGTGGCATGAAAGCTCATCCAATGCCCTGAAGGTGGCAGGAGCTTGAATTTCTTGCTGTTGCACACAGGGAGGATCTTGGTGACAAAGGGAAGGGGATGATTTACAGCTCAGCAAATGGGGAGGGGATGAACTCGCTCTCTCTAGCTGACTTGCTCATACTCAGGCCTGCAGCGAAGGACTAAAGTCAGCATTTCATACCCAGCAACTGATTGAGGGGTGAAGTGCTGCCTGTAGGGATCTCTACTAACCTTCTCACAGCATGGGTAAGCCCCCTCTTGGAGTTGCCTTGAATGGTGAGCATAGGCAGTGCCTGTATGAACAGTATTCTCCAGAAAAGGCAGAGTGTGCTGTAATGGGGTTGAAAAGCTTCCTTCAACCTGTTGGCTACTTAGGTGGATTACACCTGACAGGAGAGTTTGCTCTAAGGTGGGACAATTAAAAAGAAAATAGCTGTACAGGTTCCTATGCATTTATTGCGCCTCTTTGTGCTTCCTTGTCATTAATGATCTGGAGGATGGTGTGGACTGCACTCTCAGCAAGTTTGCAGATGACACTAAACTGGGAGGAGTGGTAGATACACTAGAGGGTAGGGATCGGATACAGAGGGACCTAGACAAATTAGAGGATTGGTCCAAAAGAAATCTGATGAGGTTCAACAAGGACAAGTGCAGAGTCCTGCACTTAGACGGAAGAATCCCATGCACCCCTACAGACTAGGGACCGAATGGCTAGGCAGCAGTTCTGCAGAAAAGGACCTAAGGGTTACAGTGGATGAGAAGCTGGATATGAGTCAGCAGTGTGTCCTTGTTGCCAAGAAGGCCAACGGCATTTTGGGCTGTATAAGATGGGGCATTGCCAGCAGAGTGAGGGACGTGATCATTCCCCTCTATTCGGCATTGGTGAGGCCTCATCTGGAGTAGTGTGTCCAGTTTTGGGCCCCACACTACAAGAAGGATGTGGAAAAATTGAAAGAGGCCAGTGGAGGGCAACAAAAATGATTAGGGGGCTGGAGCACATGACTTCTGAGGAGAGGCTGAGGGAACTGGGCTTGTTTAGTCTGCAGAAGAGAAGAGTGAGGGGGGATTTGATAGCAGCCTTCAACTACCTGAAAGGGGGAGGTTCCAAAGAGGATGGAGCTCGGCTGTTCTCAGTGGTGGCAGATGACAGAACAAGGAGCAATGGTCTCAAGTTGCAGTGGGGGAGGTTTAGGTTGGATATTAGGGAAAACTTTTTCACTAGGAGGGTGGTGAAGCACTGGAATGGGTTACCTAGGGAGGTGGTGGAATCTCCTTCCTTAGAGGTTTTTAAGGTCAGGCTTGACAAAGCCCTGGCTGGGATGATTTAGTTGGGAATTGGTCCTGCTTTGAGCAGGGGGTTGGACTAGATGACCTCCTGAGGTCCCTTCCAACCCTGATTTCCCCTTTGGCTTAGCAAATCTCTTAAACTAGACCAGAGGAAGGAATGGGCTGTTGTGTGCTGTATGGACGAGTGAACAGAGGCCTTTGTCTGTCCTTAGTGTCTGTGGGGACAGTAAGCCGCCCACTGGCTCGTTTGACATGTGCTGTATATGGGCCAGAGAGGAGCCCAGCCCTTGGTGAATCCGGCTACAAAGCTTTAGGGTCACCTTATTTGCTGTTGTACAGATCCCTCATTAATAAAGCACGAGGAGGCTGCAGGTCAGCTCTCTCTAGAGTCTCAGCCTGGCTTGTAGATGCGTTGCTCCCTTACTTGTGGAAACAAAGGGCTGGTTTATTGACTGAGGTGCGCACAGCTAACATATCGATTTCTCTGTAATCAAGTGCACACTTCTCCAAGGTGTTGGCATTGCAATGGGAGAAAGCTGGGCTCCCTGCTTTCCAGAGCAGATCGCATGCAGCCTTGATGCCTCAGCCTGAATCTTTTGGTTGTTTTAATAGCAGCTTCAATAAGCGATGTGGCCATAACAGTCACATGTCCAGTTGGGGGGGAGGGGTGAATGATAGGAGTGTCAGTTCTTTGTACAGCTCCTCACACATCTTTTGATTTCAAGGTTTGACCAGACATAGAAGTGTGGGTCAGGGCACTCAGGTACTGCAGGGAGCGGCAATGCAAGTGCCTGGAGAGGGAGAGAACAGGAGCCAGAGAAGGGACTGAGGGAGAACATTTTAATTTCTTTTCTATGGCTTCTGATGTTGCAAAGGGTCTATAAATGGCCGCTTCCTGTGCTCTAAGCCAGTGTTTCTCAACCTGTTTGTGCTTGTGACACCTCCCTCCCGCACGAGACTTGAAAAGGTAGGGGGCTGACAGCCTGAGCCCATGACCTTGATCTTGGACCCTCAGAGGGGTCACAGGACCCCAGGTTGAGAAACCCTGCTCTAAGCAAACTAGGGTACAGGCAGTCAGGTGCCATGTGACTGACCAGGTAGGATGACAGAGCAGGCTTTGACTGAAACAGCTTCCCCTATGGCAGATAAAACATCCATGGTAAGTTATTCTAACTCAGCAACACCTTTAAAAATGAAGAAGCCTGCAAATTCTCCCCACCCCACCTTTTTGCCCTTCTATGTTCTATCTTCTTAACCTTTCTGAACCCTGTAAAGTTCCTTTTAAAATAGGGGAATAAATGTGGACGGATGATTGTCAACTGGGCCTGTGTAGGAGCACATAGGGGAAATGTGATGTTCACTAGGATCTGCAGTGAGACCAGCTTCTTTTCCACACTGGTCACCAACCAGTTGTCTGGCTGTGATCTTTGCACATTGATTTAATACAAACACCCCCTTTGAAGTAGGAGAGCTTTCCTCTGCCACCATCAGTCCTATTACCTCTCCCACATACTGCAATTAATTCCTTTCTTCTTTGTCCACTTCCACCGTATGAGATGCTCGCTCTGCATCACTTTATTGGCTCCCCTGTAAATGAATAACTTCATTGACCCCCAGATGCTATCAACGCTGATACACAAAGGACTGTTAAAGTAGGGCCCTTGGCTAAAGCTCCTGCTCACAGATGTCAGCATCAAGGTGAAGCACAGAGAGGCTAATTTGTAGATACAGTAGTTAATAATCCTTTCAGAATGCTTCAGTTCAGCCACCACTGACCATGTGGAGCATCTTCACCCCCCTGCTCCTGTGAATTCCAGTCTTGCAAGGTTTGAGAATAAAACGTATTTCTGTGAAGTGGTCAGGTGCAATGCAGGCAGGCAGGCTGCTGTGGTGCCTTGAGAACTCTTGGAGCTTACAACTGCAGTTCCTTAACTGGCTCCCAGCTGAAATGGGGTGAACAGATAGCTTCATGGTTCCTGGAAGCCTGCTCTTATATTAAGTCAGCTGCTTATTCTCTCACTACATGAGGAACAGCATTTGGAATGGTAGGATCATTGCCCCAAGAAGGCACAGCCTACACTTTGGGGAATGGTTGCTTGCTTGTTTAGATTGTGGGGGAAACGTGCACACCCCTTGCTCTGGCATAGATTTCTTTACCCTATGGGAATTCTATCCCTGCCCAGTCAGGTATTCGTTATACAGGCTTTCCTAATATTTAATCTGAACTTTCCCTGCAGTCTTATTTCTAGAGGGACACAGTCCTTCCCACCAAGCCATTGTGAGGGACTGTGATAAATGTGAGACATGCTCTAGCAATAACTAGTTACTGTTAGGTATGTGCTCCTCCTGTACATTTACTCTGATAAAACCTAAACTTCCGTAGAGTTCTGTCCAGCTAGTGCTCTTTTCTCACTGATGAGCTAATTTATTTTGAGTGATCATAGCCAGTTCTTCATTAGTCTTATTTGCTCTGCCTTTTTCTCTAAAGCTGCCCTGTGCTTTTTAACTAAAAGTGTGGCATTGGAACCTGACCAGACAGCCCCCCTGTGTCTGGTTAATTCACCCCAGTACAGTGTACGTGGCTTTTTATTTTTGGCAACAGTGTCACATGGAGTCTGTCAGTTTGTCTCACATGCTGAGCCGTGGGTTCCTCTGGTACTGTTATTAGGGAGGTAATTTTATTGAACTCAAACGCAGTCAGCTTATGCTGCATTTTAATCCTCTTTCAGGTTGGTAGCCTCTGAATTTGATCGGCAAGCTCACCACTCAAACCTTCTGAAATGAAAAGGCTGAACAGCAGGATCAGAAAAGCACTTCAAAGAAAAGGTAAGGTTTTTCCTGTTAACTTAGCAGGGGGACATGGAGGGCAGCAACTTTCCAGCATAGCCACCTAGCACAGGAATCTCTCTAGCATAACTTGAGACAATCAGAGCCTCTGAAAGGAACTACCTTGGGGATTATGCTATTAATATATTGCACTAGCATAAGTTTTAAAGTTGTAACCTTAAACACATGAAAAAATACAGAGCAACCGTAATCACAAGGCATAGTTTTGTCTTAGATTTCTCTGGACCCTGAAGTCAACTGCATGGTCTCAGAGGACAGGTATTGGCCCATATATTAACAGTTTGACTAGGAATTCACAAGGCTCTGTAAAATGGGGGGGAGTTACTGTGAGAAACAACTTTGGTACATACCTCTTTGAACATTCAACCTGTAGCATTTGTGTTGTTACTCTCACATCTAAAAATATAAAAGATTCCACTGTGTACTCTCCTACTTGCACACACTGAAACTTTCAAGGTGATCAGTAATGTTCACCTGTCTGAGTACATGTGTAGAAGTCTTTCTACAGTAAAAGCTGTACTTATCACCCTCAATTCAAAACAGAGCAGCAATTTTGGCTTAACCTTTCAAATAAAAACCTATTTATCTCTGGCCTGATATTAAACAGAAAAAAATCTGTTAAGAGGAGGAGGGTGGGCATTTAATGTGAAACTTAGTCCCCAGGCTGCCACCCCCAGGAACTGGAGGTGCTTGCTCCTCTTCTACTGAGGAGTGGGGTGTTGAGCAGAGCACCTCGCCTTAGACCTTCAAAGAACTTTCCCAATTTTTAATTAAAAAAAAAAATCTAAATATGCAACAGTGTAGCAGGAAATTCCAGCTTGGGGTTTAGGATCCTATCACAGCTACAAACAGCCCCCCCTGGGTTTGGCTTTACTGCTTATGAGCTTAGTGTGGCCATCCCTAATTCATAGGCTATAAAAGGTGCCCACTTCCCTGCCAGGAACAGGTTTTTTGTTTTTTTTTTTTAACACATAATTTGTGAAAATCTTCAGAGAGCCCCTGTGGCTAGTTTGTGTTGGATTCAGTCAAACACAAACAGTGTGTTTCCTTTGCAAAGGCATTACAATCCACATTCATTCTGTACCGTGCTCCCATCCCCAAGGCAGGGAGGCTGCCAGCAGCCTCTGAAAAGCTGTGTCACACCTGTCTGCCCAGACAATGGCCTCACTATTCAAAGGAGACTGGCCTCTTCCTTGTTTTAGTCTCCCACGCTTCATGCTCTAAAAAGCAAAACTAGTTTCCCATTTGAAATTAGACCTACACTGCAGTTCAGCAAGGTTTACTAACAGAGTTGGACACACCAATCAGTCACAGCAACAGAGATCCTGTTTGCAGAGAGAAGCTTTTTATTGTACTTTGTTGGGAGCAAATGAAACACGTGAGGGCTTTACATACCAAGAATGCAGCAGTGCCAGGTTACATTCAGCGGCAGGCGAATCAAGGTTACAGTGCAAATCTCACTGCTCTCTACAGTTAGCAGCAGCTGGCATACAAACCACAACACAGAGAAGTAATGTAGATACAGCATCACAGGTAATGAGGCAACTTAGCATACAAAGAGCATTCTATTTACTGTGCCTTTGCAGGTTGCTTTATAGATGCTGTGAGTAAACATACCCTCTTTTAAAATTCAGTGTGCAGTTACTCTGCCCCCAAATTAAAACCCCATTTGGAGTATTCACATTACACTTTTTACAATATACACAACTAAGGTTATTGCCAAGTTACTTCCTACTTCAAATTACACTATTTACAATGTAAGATTCAGGAAAAGTTTCAACATCAGAGTGTCCTTTACATGAACTAGGAGAAATATTTTATTTTGTAATGGATTCTATAATTAAGCCACAGGGATCTCATATACTTTATTCAGAAGTTTATCTCTCAGCAATTTTTTAATAGAGCAAGTTACTGAAAAAAATAGATGGATTTGTCCAGTGTTACCTATCATGCAAGTTACTGAACGTGTTCAGGGACTGAATAGCACAAGTTTAGATTTTTATAATCAATGTTAGATCCAATCTTAGTGTAAAAATAAATGCTCTAGCCTCCGTGCATGAATAAGTCAGCCAAAGGTCAGATCTCGATGGATGAAAAGGAGAGTTAGAGAATAGATCTTTTGTTTACTATCCTGATCCGCAAAGAAAAACAAAGTCATTGAAGTCTAGAAAGAGAAGTACACAACAAGTGATTTACAGGATTACATTCTCTATCTCCAGTATGTGTGCATATTGTTTACATGAAGGCTAAAGGAAGAGAACTGGAACCTCCCTATAAGCACTAGAGACTAGCTGCTACCTCGAGGCAAAATAATCCTGTACAAACCCCCATTTGCTGGAGACTGCCACAGTAGAGTGGGGTCATAGTGGCACCACCTCCAGACAGCTCTCTTCCCCCCCAAAACACGTTTTCATTTAGTTCAGTTCTGAACATGAGCATGACCAAACTGAGTCAGTGACTTAGGTTTTGTTATTTTGAACTGGCTTCTATGCCTCTCTAAGCCATGGATTCTCCAGTGCAACTCACTCCTTAGGAGACTGGAGCAGTGAGTTTAGCAAATGAATTTGTATTGATTGCTTTTTCATTTAGAGTTGTCAAATTCCTCTGACATGCAGCTAAATCAAAGAGGTTTCCAAACTAAAATGGAGAGAGAGAGAAAGTGGGGCCTGCCTGAGCATGAAATGCTGGTTTAAAGCTTCCCCTCCATCTCTCTCTTACATCCTGTAAGTGGAGGAGTCATACGTTTGACTAAAATCACAACTGGGCTTCCAGAATTTTTCTGACTTCCAAATCCTGAATTTGCTCAGTGTAACAACTCCAGCTGGGTTTCTGCCTCCTAAATCTTCACCAGTGAAAGATCCTACAGCTAGAATTGTAGCTGACAGTTCACGCCATGCTTTGGACAGCGTAGCCAAGATTGCTGAAAGGTACTAGTGATTTTGATTGCTCACCTTGAGACAGCTTGGAGAGCAGGTCTCAAGTTGGGCACCTGAAATATTGGCCACTTTTGAAAATCTTGGTCTCCTTCTTCCATAATTGCTCTGCCAAGTTAAAAGGCCATGGTACGCACATACTTGTCAGTTACTTGGGTGCGTTTGAAAATTCAACCCACTGCCAGTGTCAGAATTCCCATTTAGAATGTGAATGTTCCTGGGCGTCCCAAAAATTCTGGTCTAGGTGGAAATCAGATGACCCTTTAGCAAGAGAAAGAAATAAGGGACCAGAGTTTGGTCTCTGCCTAGGTTTGAAGGAATCCATCTTCATGCGGTAGGAGAATTTGTTGACCCAGGATATCTTCAGTTTGGTCAAATATTGATTAGGTATAGGATCAAAATCTGACACTGTACTTTCGGAAGCAGATAACACTGAGGCAGCTTCCCCTTTCCTTTTCAGCAGGGCAATAGTTTAAACTTTAAACTATTTGTCCTTAAGGACTTTCAAGTTTTCCACTATTTAGTTTTCTAACCAAGTGTTTAAGGATATCTCTGTCCCCAACAGGGCAGATAACTGGACAAAACTTCAGAGTTTTTTCTGCAGCTGTTCTGAATTGCTTTGAGGGCAGATTTACCACCTTAAACATGCATTGCCCAGAGTGTGCTCTGTATCTCCTGCCTTTTACCAATTTAAAATGTTTTTCCTAGACAATAGATGTCATTAGAAATCTACACCAGCCTTTATCACTGTGCTCAGATGCACAGAAATAATCACTAGAAAGAGTTGTAACAAACAGTATTCATACTCACTGTGATATCCCACTTTTTAAAAGCAGCACAGCTCTGAATACCCCCTGCGTTATTTTGCTTTGTGTCGCATGCAATAAAGTCTTCCTTCTGGTTGGAAAATAGAGGAGGCTCTTTGCAAGAAATGTTGAATAAGCAACATACGTTGGTTAAATTCTACTTTTTTGAGGTCAGTTTATAGAATACCCTCTCAAGATGCAAGATTAACGATTGAGAATGTAGGTTTTTCCAATATGAAGTTTTGCACCTGCAAACAGCATTAGATTAAAAGTGCTAGGCTGGCTACCTTTGTCCACTCTGCAGCCCTTCATTCAGTAATATAGTGCTGCAGGTCTCACCAGTGCTCTCTTCCTCCTAATTGTGCCTGTTATCTTAAGCTGCAGTTGTTGTCCACTGCAAAGCTGACACGGTATGGCCCTGAGTAATTCTGTATTGCTTATGCTTACAGAAGCTTGTGCTTTTGAGAACAGAAAAGTCAGCACTAAAGGGGGAAAAAAGGAACCAGGCACAGTGTTCATATGAAATTTCCCTGCATTGTTTAACCAACTAATTCATGGCAATTCTGAGGAGTGGAGCTGAAAAGCACCTTGTGCTTTACTCTGTTAATTATGGTATTGGTTTATCTCTAACTTCCTTGTTGTCTTAGGAGAGAATTAGACAGGAATATTTTGACATTCCATTCAGTACTGATCAGATGAAGCTACTGTGGTTTTGTCACTATTGGTTATATTGAAAGTGTGTGCCTCACACCATGCAATTGCAGTTTGTTACAACAGTACCCCCCCTGCTTTACAGGCAGGTTTTATGGCAAGAGTTCAGAGGATAAGCAGAGTGCCCCATGCTTGAGCACTATCTAGATTAACAGGGCTCTACTGTACTTTCCATGTCAAAATTCAGCTTCAGGGTAACAGTGCATAGAACCCAGTGGGGAATTTCATCTTCTCCTTGGATCTCACACGCTGACTTCTGAAATCTTTCCATTCTGTCCCTGTGTGTTCAACCGTAAAGCATGCCTCCAGCTCTGTAATCTAATCTGCTGCAATGATGTACCCAGAAGTCTTTAGCTTCACTACTCTGGCTACTTTAAAGTCTTGAGTTGAGGCACTAACAAATCCTGACACATTATAATGGGGGGAGAATAGTTCTGGTGAAAGATACCAGATTTGCAGCCATGAAGGCTGAATCCCTGTTTTTACAACATTTACAGCAGAGGCAGTGGAGGTCTCCCCCTCAAGGGCG